AGAAAGTGTCTTGATTGATAGCTCGACCTTGCCTATTTTATGGGATGGGTGATTCCGTATTCCTTCATTAGGAAGCGGTACACCATAAAAGTTGCAAAATGAATGTGCAAATATACATGGCCAAATTGAACCTAGGTGATTGCTATTAGATCCAGCCTCCCACTTGCACTACTCTTACCTGTTCGCAGGAGTAAAAACGCCTCGAACCATCCGAATATACTGGTGTAGAGTTGTTGGAAGACTGAACTATAAGTTAGCTTCACCATTCTGAGCAGATACAGCTGTACATCCCTACTGTCAATACGGCTGATTTCAGTGCACGCTTCGTTCTTCCAAGCCGATTAAATAGATCCCATCCATGATGCAAATGCGCTATATTCATAGTGAATATCGTGAATAAGTATTTTGTTAATGACACACCAGCACCAAACCAGAGAGGACTAAGAAAAACCATTGACTTCATGGAAGCTCCTGATAGTTTCATGGTCCCTACTATACAAGAACGGTAAACAATCTCCTCGGTAATAGGAGCCTTTCGAACATGTTAAATGAGAAAAGCACAGCAGTAGAGTTGACGTACTCCGATAATGTTTCGAAATCCCATCCATGTTGTAAAAATCCACCGAATGCTACCTCCTTCCTCATCATGACGATAGATAGATGACCTTGTATCAAGTATTTCTGTATATAATGTGCCGGTGTACATTATAGGAGCCAAAAACCATGCTCCTAATGGGACGCCCGTTGGTAAAGTCAGGCCAAGGAGCTTCAAGGTCTGATGAATTGCTTCCAAATCGCCAAACTTGAATTGGTCAGTTTAGTTTCAACATGGGAAGTCGACTTACATTCCACGAGCCTGCTTTCGTGATCAAAGCTAACATGATTCCACAGCTAACGAGCGTGCTAATTGCGACACTAGACAACCTCGCTTTTATCACAGTAGGACTATCCCGTCCTTCTTCGTTGTGAGCGCGTGCTCCTGCAGCGTTTGGGCCAGCTTCGACTTTTTTCTGGCGGAACGCTAAGCGGCCAGCGCGAAACATATACAAGGATGCCACATAAGAAGTAGCAAAGAATGCGGAAATCAACCAAGCTGTAGTTCCGGAAATCACAGGGGCTTGTTCACGCGTCAACATCACCAACCCTCTATCGCGCACCAGATACAAGTTGGAATCAACCATCCCATAAAATAGGCAAGGTCGAGCTATCAATCAAGACACTTTCTTTGACCGCAACTCCCGTATCTCCTCCATTAGATGTTCTTTAAGCTCTTCCAGCTCTGCATTTCGGGCCGAGAGTTCTTTCCATTCGTAGACAATGTTATCGAGGCTTGTATCAGTTGTTGGCTGTACCCCCGGCTTTATGGAAATAACTTGAGCTTCCTTGGCCGCTTTTTTAACCGCCTTTGCTGCCTTCGCATGGTCCCGTGATGTGAGAAAAGCATAGACCAGTGTGTAGGTTTCTACAAAAGAGTTGGATACATCATGTAATCAAAGAGAAAACAAACCTGCAAGTCGACCGCGGTGATCCAGACTCATTGGGCGTCCTTATTGGGTGGAGGTCTCCAAATAAACTTTGAGAGTCGACGCCACTCACTATTCGCAATCGAACTCATGGGGATCAAAGGCACACCCGCTGCAACTAAACATGATGGCTCCAAGCTGAGAGTCGGTATTGTACATGCTCGATGGAACGAAAGCATCATCAAGGCTCTTGTCGATGGTGCAGTATCTCAGTTAAAGGAACTCGGTGTTGCGGAGGAAAATATAATCATACAAAGCGTTCCAGGGAGCTTTGAACTACCATTTGCATGCTCGAAGCAAGTTATATGGTTCTAATTCATCAGTCTACTAACCACCCATGGTAGGATGATTACTGCATCGCAGATACAGACGAATACTACAGCGACGGCAACGGATCTCCTTTCAGGGTCTTCGGCGAATTTATTAGAAGACATTGGTTCGTCGACTTCTAATGTCGCAAAGACGACTTTCGATGCTGTAATTGCCATCGGTGTTCTTATCAAAGGCTCGACCATGCATTTCGAATATATTTGCGATGCAGTGACACACGGACTCATGAAAGTCCAATTAGACTCCGGAGTACCTGTTATATTCGGGGTTCTAACTGCGTTAACTGAGGAACAGGCGCTAGAACGAGCTGGTTTGGGTGGTGGTGAAAATAAAGGGCACAATCACGGATTGGATTGGGGTTCCGCAGCTGTTGAAATGGGTTCAAATGCAAAGGCATGGAATTCGGGAAAGTTTCAATAGAGATAGTATAAGGGATTGAAATGAAGCTGGGATCATAGGTTGAACAACTTAAACACGAGTCCATGGCCCCAGCGTGAAACAAAACATCAGAAGTCCAAGGATATGGGCGATAATAATATCTAAATAGACTGTTAGAAAGTGTCTTGATTGATAGCTCGACCTTGCCTATTTTATGGGATGGGTGATTCCGTATTCCTTCATTAGGAAGCG